TATATATATATATATATATATATATACACACACACACACACACACACACACACACACACGTATGTTAGTCACTAAGAGTACATCTACACAGCAGAGCAAAACTGGAATTAAGCTAACAACTTGAGCTACATCAATTGTGTAGCTGAAGTTGAAATAGCTTAATTTGGCTTTTGGTGTTGTCTACACAGCAGGACGTTGAAGGAAGACCACTCTTCCTTTGAGTTCCCTTACTCCTCTTGAAATGAAGGTTACCATGAGTCAGAGTAAGAAGTTCTCCAGTTCAACATTATTCTGAAAGAAAGGCTTATACTATAGACATGCACTGTGTTATTTCAGAATAAGGTTAGTTATTCCAAAATAACTCTGCTGTGTTGAAGTACCTTACAGTGCTACAGGACTATTCATTTTTAAAGTTACAGACTGACATGGCTACACCTCTGAGAATTATACAATCAGAGCACTGAAAGAGACCTCAGGAGCAGGACCAATCCTAACTAAATCAACCCAGCCAGAGCTTTGTTAAGCCCAGACTTAAATTAGAATATTACTCATGGAGTCTGCTAGTTGACTAATAAAGAGTTGCTACTTGTACTAAGGAAAATAGATGTTAAAATCCTACCTGATGCCCTAAAAACAGCTACAGTTTACATGAAATGGAACAGAGTAACAAACCTCCTGCCCCCGCATTTATCTTGAATAGCTATCCCAGACCTAGAGATCAAATCCACACCTGGGCAACTCTGCGCGGAAAGACAGGACTGTGCAGGCTTGGGACAGACGGACGGAGGAACCCCAGACGGGGCTGCACGCACGCACACACACACACCTTGCTCAAGACAAAACTGAAAGTGTTTTTCGGGTGTTCGCAAAAAGACCGCAATTCAAACTAGCCAGCCCAGCTCTAGCCAGCAACCGGACAGAGGAGCAGCAGAAAGGATGCCACACAGCTGGATCCCTCTTAACAGAGGCAACAGGCGGTAAAAGTAACACCGCGGCCCTGGTGAATCAGTACCTCTTGCTGTTGTATCCCTGGAGAGCCAGTGGGAGGAGGGCGCCGCACAGGCAGCCATGGGAGGGGAGAGCCAGCACCCCTCCAGCGAGGCGTAGGAGGAACCCAGGGGGAAAGCCACCTCAGGGAGCCAGCACCGCGCCCTCACTGGCGGGGGTGGGGAGAAGGGTCGACAGAGCCCTTACTCCACAGGAAGCAAAACAACTCGGCCAGGCCGCTGCTAGGGGCGGGGAGCAAACAAGGCCGCCCCTCCCCCACCCCTCGCTCAGGCGCAACCCGGGGAGAGGAGCGGGAAGCGGCCTCCTGTGGTAGGGGGAGGAGCTAATCCGCAGACTCCCGGGAAGAGGAAGACGCGGCCCCCGCTGCCCCCTCTGCGCAGGGCTGGGGGGAAAGAGAGCGCTCCCCGGCCCGCGCGCTAGGGCAGAGCGTCAGGGAGAGCGAACCACTCCCAGCGCTAGTTGACTCCTGCCGGAGCCTCCCCCCTGCGCCTCCCTACCTGGGCGAGCGCGTCTCCCCGTCACGGGTCCCGGCCTGCCTCGGTCGCCACCATCACCGACACTTCAAGATGGCGGACATATCAGACCCTAGGAGCCCTCCTTCGCTCACCCTCCCGGCCTGCCAATCACACTTCCCGGGCACACCCTTCTCCCCTTCGAGCAAGTTTCCATTGGGCAGCAGTCCAAATGCCGCTTCCCATTGGCCTTCTTGTGGCCGTCAATAACACAGGAACTACACTACCACTGGACGATACGCGGAGTGAGGGCGGGCTGAAGGGGTTTCTGAAGGCCAATGAAAGCGTCCGGGGTGGGCCTCTCTGGTTTCACGCCCTAGCAACAGTGCAACGTCACAGTGACAGGCGTGTCTTTTCCCCAATCAGAGATGACATTACAGTTTAAAAATAAACCGGGCTAAACCAATCAATTGGGAAAAGACTCAGACGGGTGTGCGATCAATGATGGGGCTAGAAGAGAGGACACAAGCGTCGCCCATCACGCCTGCTCATTGGCTAACGGAAGAGGCCACGCCCTCAGCAGAGAAACGAAGTAGCGAAACTGCCTGACAACAGTTCGCCCACCGTGCAGCATCGGAGAAAGTAGGTCACATGACAATGGCGGCGTTTATATGTCAGTGATAGAGAACCATGCTCCGAAGTTGGGGAATTAGCTCAAATGGTAGAGCGCTCGCTTAGCATGCGAGAGGTAGCGGGATCGATGCCCGCATTCTCCACAGCTTGTTTTTTCTTAACATTAAAATAAAAAGTATTTTAAAGGGCATGAGCTGCATGAGAGACATTGAATAGAATTGTTGCCCGGTTTATTTTGTTTTGCCCAGCAAAAGTAACCAAAACACTTCACAAACACAAATGCCTGCATTGACTCCTTCAAAATAACAATAATAAGTGCAATAAAAACAGTTAATCTGTTCCATCATATTGGGGGAAAAAGCCATAAAAGGGGGGTTCTGCAGAAACAAAGGTGGTCTAATTACATTTGGTAACAGCACTTGCACGGCAGTTAAAATGAAAGGATCCCTCAGCTATACACACACCAATTGTACCTGCAAAGCCCCAAATTGGCATACCTAAATTAGGTCATTGCAGGCCAATAGTGACAGCTCTTATCAATTTTTTATCATAAGTTTAACAATATTTGTTGTTTTTATTAAAAGTCCTGACTCCTGGAGTCATGTGATTACATGCCTCTAATAGAGTTTTTTTAAGATTCTAATCATCATGACTGCAGCAAAAACCTTGTAAATAACTAAATGTTGTTTGAAAACCAGAAAGCAAATAAGAAGAGCACAAACATTATTTATGTTAAAACCCATGATTTTGGAGAGCTTGATTCATGATTTGTAAACACCTAATGTAGCAATTACCAATGCTGTACAAAGAAAGCTGGCATACTGAGTATATAATTTGTGAGTGCAATCATTGGGAAGCTCAGACTTGCAATTTTGGCACAAATTTTAATTTTGTTTTGTCAACTAATATTGCAGTTTGAAACATTTAATTGAAGCGTGTGAAAAAAATATTTCATTCGCATACCATTATAAATATTTAATAGCTTATTCTTTCATAATGGGATGATTTTGTATTTAATATCCATTATATTTTATCATTATTTTCCAAACTATGATATATTATTAGGCCAAAAGTCAGTGGACTAAATTTTACTTGATTTTCAAATAACTAAAAAAATATTAAACTAACATTTTAAAATCTTGGGGTATGATTAAAAAGAAAAGGGAGCTATTTGTTGAACCACATCTTAGAACATATGAAGGGCCTGATCCTGAAAACAATTACATAAATGCTTAGTTTTACATAGGCTATGTCTACACTACACTTATTTTTCAGAGAAAGGTATGCAAATTGTGCTCCATAGTGTAGACGTAGCCAAACTAATCAGATTGGCTGTGTCTACATTGGCACCCTTTTCCGGAAAAGGGATGCTAATGAGACCAGTCGGAATTGCAAATGAAGCGGGGATTTAAATATCCCCCGCGGCATTTGCATGAACATGGCTGCCGCTTTTTTCCAGCTCGGGGTTTTGCCGGAGAAAAGCGCCAGTCTAGACGGGATCTTGCGAAAAATAAACCCTTGTCCGGAAGATCCCTTATTCCTACTTGAAAGGAATAAGGAATCTTCCGGAAAAGGGTTTATTTTCTGGTTAAGAGGTGGTGGGTCACATCCATAGGCAGCTCCTACAACAGGGGTGGGCAAGCTATGGCCCGTGGGCTGGCTCACCAAAATGTTTGATCCAGCTCACTGCCCACCCTGCTGAGACCACCAAGGCTACTCAAAAGAGCTGGCACAAGGCACCTAGAGGGAGCTGCTAGCCATTTTAAACAGCAAGGTACATTCCTGGCAGGGAGCAGCCAGGGGTGAGAGACTTTGCATGTTCCCCTGCCACCAGGCCCCCACTGGGCCCCGACCAGTGGCACGCAGTGCTTAGAGGGAACCACCAGATGTTCAAAATGGCTGGCGATTCCCTCTAAGTCCTGTGCAACTTTGGTGGGGGGCAAGAGAATTCATGCGCTCCCCTACTCCTGGCTGCCATGGTAGGCCTGGAGGCAGGGGAGCATTCCCAGGGACGTGCAGCCCTAAGCACCACATGGAGGGAACCTCCTTGAGCAGCCTAGGGCTGCTGCAGGAGGGAGCCTGCCTTGGGGACCTTGTTGGACTGCTGGAAGGGAGTCACCTAAGGTAAGTGACTCCTGGCCAGAGCCTTCCTCTGGCACCCCAGCCTCTCCTACTTCCCAACTCTCTAGCCCACATGGGTAACCTTCCTTCCCCCCTCCCCCCCGGCCCTACATCCAAATCCTCTGCGCACATGTCCTACCCAAGGTCACAATTCCCTTCCAGACCCTGCACCCCTTACTACACTCCTCCCCAAGGTCAAAATACACTCCTGCACCCCTATTCCCTCCTTGACCCTGCACCCAAATCCCCTGCTCCAGGTCACAACTCCCTACCTCACCCAAATTCCCTTTCAGACCCTACACTCTCTCCTGCACCCCAGATCTCCTGTCCTAAGTTTCCTTTTGCACCCAAATCCCAAATCCCAGTTCCAAATCCCACACAACATCCACAGGGAAGTGCTGTCCTTGACCACTTTCCAAAATCTTGGAGTAGCCCTACATTAAAAATTATTGCCCACCCCTGCTCTAGGCACTGTGTGGAGGGGAGCTGACAGCCATTTTGAACAGACTTGAGGGACACAGCAGGTCGGCCCATGGGCCCGATCAAACAGCGTGGCAGGCCGGGCCTGGCGTACAGGCCATATCTTGTCCGCCCCTGGACTAGAGCCATTACTTCATTTTTATGAGATTCCAAGTATAGGTGTAACATGTTTGTGATAAGATTTAATTGTAACTCTCATATTTAATTGAGAAATTAAATATTTTGTTGATGATTTAAAAAATTAGATTTAATTAAAAATCAGATTTAAATTACATTAAAAATCTGATTTATCAGCCCTGTTTATGACATTTATTTAAGGCCTTGATAAAATGGGTGAGAAAAGAATAGAGATGGGAATAGGAAATATCAGCCATGAATTGAGTCTGGATTTCAGCTTCTGGCTGCAAGTTTCTCTGTTTTTTTTGTTTGTTTTTTTTGTGCAAGCTGCCTGCAAGTATGTGTCAGTGAAGTCTATAAGCCATAGGGGGCAGAAGAAAAGCTACTGCGGGTCAGTATCAGGCTGGTAGTATTCATGACTTTGCAGACAGAGATCCATGCATATGATATTCAAAGGGGCTTCCTAGGACAAAGGACAAATCTACACTGGCAAGTTACTGTGCAGTAAATTAGCTCTCAGTTCTGCAACTTCCAACAAGTCCATACTGGCAAGGCACTTAGTGCACACTAGCTCCACAGATGCTGCACTCTAGGTAAACTACCCCAGTAAGAAGCATAGAGTTGCTGCACTCTGGATACAGTGCTGGGATACCAATATGGACACCATGGTGTAGTACTGTATTCTGACTGTCCTCTGGTACCCTTTCTATAATTTCTGGTCTTGCCTCTCTGGTCATCTGTTTGAACTCTACTGTCCTGCTCTCAGGTTACCAAACCTCAGACCCATTATTTGTGTTTCTTTGAAAATTTGAAAGTCCCTTTCCTGTTCATTCAGGGTACATCTACACAGCAGGGCAAAACTGGAATTAAGCGACACACCCTGAGCTACGTCAATTGCGTAGCTGAAGTCAAAATAGCTTAATTTGGCTTTCGGCACTGTCTAGGCATCAGCAAGTCGAAGGAAAAACACTCTTCCTTCAAGTTTCCTTACTTCTCGTAAAATTAGGGTTACAGGAATCAGAGTAAGAAGTCCTCTAGCTCGACATTATTTTGAAATAATGGCTTGCTGTGTGGACGCACACTGTGTTATTTCAGAATAACATTTATTATTCCAAAATAATGCTGCTGTGTAGACATCGCCTCAGTGTGGGTGTTCTCAGCCCTCTTGCACAGCACAAATATTGGCAGGGCTACATATTAAACCTGGACATGTATTAAACTGTGATGCTTGCTCTCCTGCTTGTTCCCCTTCCTCCTTCCCTGTCTCCCAGCAAATGCAGATGTTTCATGCTTCATGTGTATTTTACATTTCTTGTTTTTAATTAATGAAATTCTTATGTTCCAAAGGAATCTTTATTCTATTACATGAAAGCAAGTAAACCATATCCCAGCAAAGCTATGGTCACTGTGGGCATGTCTACACAGCAGGGTTAAACTCAAAATAAGCTACGCAACTTGAGCTACGCTAATTGCATAACTTAAGTCGAAATAGCTTATTTCAAATTTGGGCACAACTGCAGAGCACTTATTTCGAAATAGAGCACTCTTCCACTGACTTCCCTTATTCCTCATACAATGAGGTTGACAGAACTTGGAGTAAGAAGCCCATTATTTTGAATTTATTTCAAAATAACGGGCTTGTTGTGTAGATGCTCTATACGTCGTTACAGAATAACGTCCATTATTCTGAAATAATGCTGCTGTGTAGATGTCCCCTTTAGCAATGAAGAATTAGGCC